TTCAGGGTTATAATGGGAATTTGTTTGGTTTTAATGTAAACTATAATGGTGTCTATTTGATGGATTCTATTGGTGGGATGTAATCTGGCAGATGGCAACCAATGGAACAACAGTAATTCCTATTGGAATAATACCCAAAACAAAAAGGAGTTTTGTAATGGTTTAATGGAAACGATAAGAATTTCTGTGAAGGTTTCTATTGTTTTTTTCAGCAGGGTAATGATACCCATGCTGTGCTGCACATTATTGACAATATTAAGCTGAAGCTTGACTTTGCAAATTTAAAATCGCAAATCAAATCGCAATCGCAATATCTGCCAAAAAAAAAATCGCAATTAGATATTTTCCCCCAAATCGCAAAGCCCTAATCTGCAGTTCCTCAAGTTCACCGCTAGAGGTCAACACACCATCACACTAAAGTACAAGCAACAGTTTCAGCATTTCACTATTGTGTCCAAACCATAGACTGTATGCTCCAAACTTTGTCCAAACCTTCAGCAGATCTAGTATTTTACAGCTCTGTGTGTGATTCGTGCTGTGATCCATTATTCCTCTCTGTGCTCCACCATATTCCCTGATCATCACCACTGCTGAGACTTTATAGTGTACAGATTATGTAATGAATATGAATGAATTATTATTATTACACAGAATTATATGCACATAAATTAGATATATTTACATTAGAAACACTTAATCTACTAATTAACTTATTTAATTTATTCGTAAGTTTGTAATATTGAATTAAATAAGCAAATTATGCATATGTGGCCGGTTTGACGTAATTCTAATTTACTAAGGAAAAAGACAATGCCAAGACATCTAATAAAAAAGGCACGTGTCTGCTGCTGCTGGTGATTTTCAGCGGATCGTGGACCGCAGTGGACGCGCTCACATTTCCACAGCATTACACGTAAGACACGATTTTCACAGCATTATATGAAGGAATCATTCGTTTCTATTACACGCAAGACACGCTCTGTAAGAACATGTCCATTTCCACAACGTTACACGTTAGAAATGTAATTGTACAGCAATGCACGTCGCCAATAAGAAATGTCAATTTCCACAACGTTACGTTTCAGAAATGTCAGTTTCCACAGAAATACAAACAAGAAAAGTCAATTTCCACAAAATCAAAAGATATAGCCTAATCATTTCCACAACATTACACGTAACCTAACAACACAAGACCAGCGGCCCACCGGTGGCAAAATCAGCGGCCCACCGGCGGACGTCGCCCGCGGTTCACCGGCGTTTTGCTCATCGTTATTCCAGCGGACCACCAGCGGCAGCCGCCGCTTTTCCGACAGCGGTCCGCTGACGAGCCGCTGGTTTATAATTACTGTTTGCTGGCGGTCCACGGTCGGTCCGTGGTTCATTATCAGTTGGATTACTAACCAAACTATCATTGCACACAATAATGGATCAAAAACAATGTATAATCACAATTGTACATTTATTTTCAGTGAACTGATTAAATATACACATTTATTTACAGTATCAGATGGTTTTATCCAATGTGACTTTTAAATAGAAGCATTCAGTTCACATATTTGTACCTGTACAAAAGTTAACCACAAAATCAACCATGGTTTTACTACAATAACCAACCATTGTTTAACTATGATTGTTGTAGTAAATCCACAGTAACTACCATAACCATGGTCTTACT